CTCGACGCGGTGGCAGGCCCCAGGCGCGGGGAGCGGCGCTAGGCCCGCCCTCCGGTCGCCTTGTGCGCGTGTCCGAAACTGCACCACGTGTGGGTTGCCGTAATAAACGTTAAACGAGGCGTGACTTAAGACAAAAGTTATTTTAATTGTAAGATTTCGTCGCTAAGAAACCGGTCCTAGAAAGCGTGACGTCGTTCACCAGCGGCATTCCAGCAGCATGGGCGGCTGATGGCGATGCTCCTTGCACCTGCTCACGCTACGCAAAACTGGGGCTGGCATCTTTCAGGGAGAGAAAAGTCTGCAGCCTGCCGTCAAAGCCAAGGGGCCTGCGCCGCGGCTCCCTGTACGGGCCCGCCATGGTTGCCCCCAGGTAGGGGATGAGCTGGCAGTGCTCCATGAACCGTGTCAGCTTCCTCTGGTACATCCGCCGCACGGGCTCCGAGCTCCTGGGGTTGTGCGCTGGAAGAAGTTAAGAGGTGTCTTAGTGACCCCTGTTAACTCTGTGGAATTACATTACAGAAGTTTTCAAAGGCATCAAGTCTAGTCTACGCCAGCTGTTTTTATCCTTCGTACAGATAAAACTGCTATAGGTGGTGCCCGTTGACGCCAAACCAACAAAAAAATCAAGTCTATTTCGAAAGTTCCTAACTCCAAAAGAGTAACGATCTTCAGAAAGATCAAGGCTTTTGTAAACGAATAATAAACATTTGCCCAGCTGCCATCAACTTCCTATCCCTCAGGCCGTGAGGGGCTTGTGATGCTCGAGGCAATGACAAACTTGCATAATGTGGCGCATACCCTGCAATGCCGCTGCGTGGGGATAGCGCAGGCACGGCATGACTGGCACTGGGCCGCTGTGTCCTTGGCACAGCTGTCCTGTGACCTGAATGCTTTGCCCATAAAAAAAAGAGCTGACTGATATTTTAGAGGAGGAAAGAAACATCAAGGCCAAGAACTTTACAATGAAGATAGTATTGGTTCTTTTCTTTCTTACCTCTCTGCCCTAAGCCGTATTTTGGCGTACATTAGTATTGAGTGCCAGTCCGCAGAGTATTCTGTATTATTTTAATTGTCACACTGAAGCCACGGGGAAGGAGTGATTTAAGACAGCCAAGTCATAACCATTTTTTTCCCCTGTAAATGCTACTTTATGTCTCATTACAAAAAATGGACAGCATGAAGAACTATGCTATGAGACACTTCAGCCCACTAGCTTTAAATTGTAGACAACTGCATTTAACAGCTTATGAGTGATTTTTCAAACATAGAGTTCTTACAGGAGTCAAGTTTCAAGAGCACTAAATGACTCTGGTGATGTATGGTTTCCTACTTTTTTCTTCCAGGAGTAAATCTCTCTGCATTTATGATTGATCACCTGTACCTTCTCTTCCTGGATACTCAAAGCAATCCAGTAGTGTTAGAAAAGCTGCAGGAGCTACTGTTTCTTGTCCCCTATTTAAATGTGAGATTAGAGAGTGACATAAGTTGAAGATGAGCAAGTCTTACTTCAGACAGAAATAGGATGCAACAAATTTCCAGAGGACCACAACGTGAAGCACTTTGATCAAGTTTTTGATCAAGGTCAGCGTGACTACTCTGAAGAGGCACAGAATGAGAAATAATGCTATGTTTGCAAAGGACATTTTTCAGTGCACTGGAATGCTGTATCTTAAAGTTGGAAGCAGTTCTACCCAGTATTAGAATAATAGATAACTTGTTTTCCTGGATTCCTATGGTCAAACTGTTCGTCACTGCATGAGGAGAAGAGATTTGTGCACTTGCGCAACCTTTCCATTTCATCATCCAGTGCTGATAATGGTTTAATGATGCAATATATGAGCAAAGCATTCCTAGCGTGGACATTGTTATGTTAGCAAAGCTGTGCTAACAATAGAATGAAAACAGTCTTTGTGGATGTAACAAACTGCTGTATAAAAGCAGTTTTGCTGGCTTAAGAACTGTACATTTATACAGGGGCTTATCGTGTGCCTACACTGTTCTCTGCTCTTCTTTAACAAAGCTGTGCTAGCAAAAATCCATGATAGTCCAAGAAAATTCCAGAGGGCTCTGGAAACTGCATGAGGAAGCACAGGATGTGAAGAACTTTAGACAAATAATAAAGACTGCTATTATCTAAAAGAATAAGTAAAAATTTGAAATAACAAAAGGCAAGGTAAAGTTCACCCACTGAACAGGTTGGCTTATAAAAGACAAAACTGGTGGGTTGAAGAAGTGGCAGTCTTGTTCCAGAAATCTCAGCAGTACTGGAAACCAGACCAAAGCTACAGCAGAGCTGCAAACTCAACTGTTGAAATCCTGAAAGCTGGCACTATTTAGGCTGATTGCAAACTATTAAAGATTACTAGCTGCTATCTTGGACTGAAAAAAAAAGTTTTTTTTTTAAAAAAACCCAACCAAACAAAAATTCTAAAAAATAGCAAATATAAACACCGTAGGCAAAGCTTGAGCAACTTCCCTCACTGAAGGAGTAGTCCTAACCTCTGATGTTTTTTATTTTATTTTGTGGGCTGAGTACAAACCACCTAATTTTAGTTTCGGACTGTTTATCTTTGTTACGGAAAAGTCAGGTAGTCGATTGCACTGTCGATTAAATAAAAAAAGAAGTTAAGAATAATCAACGTACCGATACTCCAAATCACATGAATATTGAGATCTTCCCAGATAATTTCCCAAATAAGCAGACTGATAAATAACATTTCATTTCTCTGTGCTGCTAAAAACTTAAAAGTCTAATTAAATCTGCATGGATATCTATTCTTTTGTACTGTGTAACTTAGTGTATTGGTACTGAGCCCATGCAAAAGAAGGGCTTTTTTTGAAAATGACAGGTTTTCTATGTGCACTTAGGCTGTTTTTCAATACAACTAGACATCTCATTTACATATTTAGCTGATGTGTTGTTGATGTGTATGATCAGAAAGTTGTCTTCAGGTTATCTGCAAGGCAAGGTTTGTTAATACGTTTTATTTGACCATCTGATACAGTTGAAAAAAGGCAAGTATTCAGGCACCTAAACCTTTCCCCAGGTAGTATTTCAGCAGCCTTTTATTACAGTAATTTTACTTAATTTTTAAGAGAATTCAGGTTGTCTATGACTAGCTTAAAATGGAGTACCACCTAGAGGATAACATTTTACTTTCTGTTTAACAGTTCTGACAATGTGTGTTAGAATGCATGTTTTCAAGGCCATCAGGTTGTTGGTGATAAAATGTCATTAAAGTCTCATGATTTGTGAGAGATCACTTACCTATCTACCTATCCTGTTAACCTTATTTTCCTCTCTGCTCCTTACACATTTCCAAGAAACTCGGCAGTGTGTACATAAGTATATAATAGTATTTTCCCAAGTTGGTCATAAGAAAACTACACAAATTGGTTATCAGTGTTGTATCAGATGATTCACTGCATTTGTATAATTCATTATTTTTCTAGCATATTATTTTATACGCTACCTTTTAAATGGCAGGCAACAAACAGCAGAGCAGTTTTTTTTACACTTAGAAATGGAAACTTTGGCTTTAAGGAGCCTACTTCATTCAGAGCTTTTATTAGAGAAGTTGCTACTCCCTAAAGAAAGAAAACAGTTTTAGAAGACCATTACAGTAATCTAGAACAAAAATATATTCAAAGCCTGATCCTGCTGTCATGCAAATCTAACAATATAGGATGACATCTAAGTTGGTGAATTGTAGAAGATAACAAATAGTATAAAGTAGGGAGCGAAGTGACCATGAATCATTTTTTATTTCATAGTCATGTCCCAAAATGTAACCAACTATCCTTAAATGATTCTAGATAGGCTTGTGTCTATCCTGGTGTTAAAAATCGAAGCAAATTTTAATCTTAGTAGATAGGATAAACAATCAGAAAATCCATCATATAATATTGCAGTTTATTATTCCCCTCTGATGGCCTTACTTGTATTTTTTCCATTAAAGCTATAAATATGTATTATTGTAAAGCTTTCAAAAACTCCTCTCAATTGTATGTACACATTTTTCAATGTAATACAATCCCATTAATAAACATAAGACTCATACTGCATTAAAAATGACAGAAACTGGGTGGGATATACTATACATTGCAAAATCATGTTTTAAGATAGAAAAGCAAAAACTGGCCTGTTCAAGGTATCCAGCCAGAGGAAGTGCAGTGAGTAGTATTGGCTCCTTTATTGGAGGGAGTTTACGTGGAAGCTTCAGATTCCAGTACTTCTCTGGTAATCTAACCAGATAAAAAGTAAGCACTTTTAAGATGTATAAACCATGACACGATTAAAGATGAAAATGCAGTTAGTATATTCACCTCATAAACTTCAGAAGTTTTTCTTCACTTTCAAAAATATATACCTTATCTTGATATTTTGCTGTATACTCGATACTGCCAGGCACCAAAGCTTCATATCTGAAGAGATGGAGCAAGAAAGACTTACTTCACAAGACATGTAAAACATGGTTTGTGCTGTGTAAATTCCTGAGCTCCTGGGAGCCTTCTGGTAATTAGTAAGTATAGGAACTACAAAAATGTAGCAATTGGATCATCCGAGTTGCCACCACATGACTGTCAGTTACAAGTCTCAAAATGTGAGAGTCTTTGCCTCAATATCTGCTTATTAGGGGGCTTTTCTAGTGCTTCTTTAGAGTGCCTCTAGTTAAAATGCCAATCGTAGCTGTTCAGGAGATTAAGAGGGGACAGCATAGAATTGGCTGTTATGGTTCTACCTTGATGAGAAGTTCCTGCACACTGTGGGGGTTCCTGCGCATTCAGTAGCACTTTATGGTGGAGCTTTATGGATCTCATCAAAATCGTAATAGCTAGTTTTGCATCTACTAAGGTTTTGCGAGATTTATTTGAACTATTGAAGGCTTATGATAGAGAAAACTCAAACTATATCCGAGCAGTCTTCATCACAAAAGACAGTAAGCCAGCAAAGATCCTCGTGGAACCTGTAGCCATGTAAGTTTCAAAAGGTGATTTTACATTGATTTCCAAAGCCACAGGCACAATATAGAGAATTGTACTTTGAAAGTATTTCCTGATTAATGTGTTAATATAGGACGCACAGTCTGTAATTCAGATTATGAAAACCGCAGTGATGTACCTCTGTTTTCCATCGAGGTAAGTGACTGGACAGTATCCCTGCATTTCAGCACTTACAGGGAATAAGGCCTTCACTTCTGCTGCAGTCAGTTTCTTTGGTAGCATATCTGGGGGTGGGAGAGGGTGAGGTGCCAGTGGTGGCACATAAACCTCTGGTCTGCTCAAGAATTTCTATAGAAAAAGAAATTAAATGTCTTTATAATGAAAGAAGCACTGTAAGACTGTTAGTCAAACTACAGAGGACTGGCTCACACAATTAAGATACTTGTTTATTCTATACCTTTCTTAGTGTGCTGGCACTGCTGCTGCTCTTAAGTAATTTCTTTTCCAACCCACTCTCAGTTGAAGTCATCACTATCCGCCCACCCTCCATCACTATCCATTGCTATCATTAGCCACTCTCTACCCCCAGTCTCCCCAAAACAGATGGAGAAGGGAGGAAATCGTTGTTTTAAAATGGATGTTTGATCTATGAGAATTTGTAAGAGGAGCTTTGGTTTGAATGGACTGCATTTTGTCTGCCTAGATGTTTGATAGCAGAAGTGTACAGAACAAAAGCTTGAATGCTAACAACACTAGGGGCATGTAGTGATAGGACAAGGGGTAATGGCCTTAAGCTGCTGAAGGAGGGTAGATTTAGATTAGATATAAGGAAGAAAGCCTTCACTGTGAGGGTGGTGAGGCACTGGAACAGGTTGCCCAGAGAAGCTGTGGATGCCCCCTCCCTGGCAGTGTTCAAGGCCAGGTTGGATGGGGCTTTGGGCAACCTGGTCTAGTGGAGGGTGTCCCTGCCCATGGCAGGGGGGTTGGAACTAGATGGTCTTTGAGGTCCCTTCCAACCCAAACCATTCTGTCATTCTATGATGATTCTATGAATTCAGATTACATAGTGCTGCTTTCTGTACGGAATCAAAGAATCTAAGCAACAATGTTCCCTGTTTCCATAATCCCTTCCCGACCTGCTTTCTGACACTTACATCCAGTTCTTCCTGTGAAGCCATTTTGTAATAGTGTCCTCGAAATTCTGCAGCAAACTGCAATGATGACGTTACAGAGCAGTCAACCAATTCACCCTTTTCCGCGAGGCTGACGGGACAGTACTGGCCAAACTCCCCCAGCCGATACTGCAGCTCTTCAGGAGTTATACATAAATCAACAATGCCAGCTGCTTTCCCTTTTAATAAAAGCAATTAATGATAGTGTTTTATTAATGAAATACATAGAAACATCAAACATGTTTATTCAGAAATGTTACAGCTTAGAAGATTTTATAATTCATCGTGCGAAAATGAGATGAAATAATGAGAAAATAGCATTTTTATAGATTGATACTGAAATGAAGTTGCAACCCATTTACCCAATCAATTTTAATAAAATTTTTCTTGCACTTCAGAAATATAATAATTATTAATGATGTGGGATACTCTGTATGCTTACTAGTCTGTTTTCACTGGGACAGGTTTTTTTATGATTTATTGTTTTACTCTGTGTTGCTAAGGAACATTTCAGCTACTATTTTATTTCTTTACATTGGTGAAAAAGAGTACAAAGTGTGATGAAAGCCTCCTGTTTATTCATTCCTGTCTTGCAAATGCTACAGTCTATCTGGATGAAATATATGCATAATCTTGAATAAAATATCATATAAAACCCAAACTATTTAAAAACTGTGCTTTTCAAGCTTGATGTGAAAAAAGTTATATATATTTTAAATTTTTTTTTTTGCTTATGACTGCAATTTTTAAGAAGAGTGGAGCCACATAGCTGTAAAAGTTAAAACCCAAAAGGTGGATATACGATAAGGAAGTCTGTTTGCCCTTCAGAGGAATTCTAGTTAAACTATACAGGCATGTTTAAAAGGCATATTTAATCCTGACCAATGCTTACACACAATAATTCAAGTGGGAACTGTGCCAGTTTAGACTAAAGTGCTTTTCCTCCCACATCGCAGAAATTAACTCAGATGGCATATTTAACTTTAATTCTGAACTTACAATTAACATTTCCTCCCTCCTTCCCTCTTCCTCCACTGACACTTAAGTGAAGCTGCAAGTCATAGTTCCCCTTGTATACTTTGGGGTACCCTTTGCGATTTATAACCTAATGTTGAGACCTCTGTCTTCTTTCAGCTGTATTCTGTTACCCTGTTCTTTGGAAGATGGCCTCAGACTGTCCTGTGATTGGTTTTGTCTTTGCTCTCTTGAAGAGATCTCTTCAAGATCTCTCCAGATGAGACTGAAGAATTTGAGGGTACGTATGTGCCCAAGAATTAGCTTCATCCAAAGCAGGTAGAAGGTGAAATGCACTCATTACATTGCAACTTCTTAAAGAAACAAATATTATTCTGAGAAACTTTGTTTTTCTTTTACCTTCTTTTATTCTTTCCAGGTATATCTGGATTTCTTTAACAGCCACTTGAACTTCCTGCAGTACTTTGTTCCAGATCCACCACTTGCTCTGAAAGGCATCAATCACATACCAGTTCTGATGCTCCTTCTTATAGTAAGTCCTAATTGCATCAACGTGCTGTTTATAACAGGAATTTTTAATAGCTAGAATCTGTGAGCTGTCATGTTCAGGGTAGGGAGGTCTAAAGAGAGTGAAAAATAACACTGGTTTAATATGAGTTTGAAGATTAGATAATTTCATTGAATTTCAGGTATAAATTATAGAGTTCACTTTAAGTCCTTTTTACAGAATTCTGCTTATTTGAAACTGTAGAACATATTTGAGAAATACAACTTTCTTATTAAGAATATTACCAGTTACATATGACAAGCAGCATACTTATGATCAGACAGTTATGTTCAGAAACAAAGAACAAAACTTTTGCTATTTATGTCCCAAATACAACTCAGTAATTTTGTAAAGGATTTGGAATTTATCAGCACATATTAACTGACACACACTACCAGTACACCATTAAATGTACTCTAGACAAAATGCTATGAGACTTTTAAAGTGAAAGTCAATTGTTTATTGAAAAACAGGCTTGATTTTGAATTATGCTGCTGTTTGAAATCAAGAAGTAGCCATAATCCTTGGATGTATTTTGAAAACTGTCTGTCATATTTACATATACATATATGAAAAGAATCCATCTGACCTCTAAAAATAGTATGCAAGACCAGAAGAGATATTTTGTCTAGAACACAGAAGCATTTCCTGTTCTGGTTCTTAATTGAAATGACGCCAAAAAAAGATAACCTTCTGTTTTAATAGGATTCATTTCTCTGTAAGTTGTACCTTTCAGAAATATCAGATACTGCACATTTGATTTGTATTTAAGCCTATGAAATGTAATTAGTTTGGTATTTAAAATGAAAAGTTTAAAGTAAATACTTTCAAAAAGACAGCATTAATTTAATTTTTCGCAATGCAAATTGTCTTTAGGCTTTCAGTAAACAATTAAGCATTGTACTGATTACTTGATAAAAAGGGAGACAAAATGAAAGAGGCATACAATAATGCTCTAAACTATCTGGAACTTCTTAGAAACACTTCCTCTAATGAGAACCAGGTTCTTATACAATTTAATTTTAAGGTGAATGTTCTGTTCTTTTTAATTCTCTGTCCATTTATAAACTACTTACTGCTCTTCCATAAAAACAACTAACAGCTTTTTAAACAGAATATTTATCTCCTTAGAAAAACAAAGGGAGCAAGCTGAATTGAAAGATTTAGATGAGTAACTCATAAGCTGTATATACATTATTAAAATATACATTGTTTCCATCTTTTTAAAAGAACTCCAATTAAGACTTAAAAGAGAGCTTATTAGATGAAGTATCATTTCCCTTATGATGATAATAATTGAAATGATGAATAATAAACTTCAGCAGCAGAGTGAACTAGTAACATTTCTGATGGTTTCATTAAAAACAATTAAACTAAGCAGTGGATGCACAGCATTGCACCTCTGTGACCTCAGTCATGCAATCGGGAGATCTGGCCAGAGCATGCCACAAACTCCTCATGTCTTCGTTTCTGGTCTATGGAAACCAAAGCATTAGAATGTAGAGGGACTGGTGCCCATGTCTTTTCATATGTGGAGTTTGGAGGTGGCTGGATTATGCACCAGGTTAGATACAGCCTCTCTGGGTACAGCACTGAGGCACATACATAGAGAAATGAGAATATTGTGTGGATAAAAGTACTGCTGTCAGGGAGCATCACTACCTATTCATGCTTTCCTTATCCAACAGTGCTCTTCTGAACACTTCCTTTGCATCCATTTCTAATTCAAAGATTTTCACTGGAATTATCCTAGCCGATTCCAAGAGGTTTACTTGTTTTCTTGTTACAGGATATCCATCAATTACAACTCTGCATACAAACAGAAACAGAAAGACAGTTTTCCTAAGAAATCAGTTTCTAATTGACCATTAAGACTATATATATTCTTAGTACATTCTCGATAGAGACAAAAGTCTACACCGATGCCATGAAGTTATCACTCCCTTGACTTGATAAACACAGTCCTCACTCCTAAGAATTTACAATCAAATTTAAAAAAAAAAAATCAAGTAGATAGAATAAGAAATAGTAAAGAGTAAAGGAAATACACAAAGGGCAAAATGGATGGGAATGTAAGTGAATGGATCTGACTTGTAAAACTGGTGGGCTTTAAAATTCTGACACATCAATCATTCAGAAATGTAATTTTAACTATGGGAAATCTCCATATGGATTGGGAGGAGTAGTTTTCAAAGTGAAAAGTAAAATGATTTACGGTACTTGAAGAGGTTTTTTAATCATATTGAAGAAGAAATGCTTTTCACATATTAGGCAATACTGGGGCAAAATATACTGAAACAGTATTCCAGTACTTAACATGAAAGAAAAGCTGAAAGAATTCAGATCTCAAGCTCAAATAATTTTCAGACATTATTCCAGAATTGTCTTTCCCTGTAACAATTCTCCTTTGTGGGGAGAGGAGTTGAATGTCATGAAATCATGATCATGAAGCTTTTTAAGTCTACTCAGTTTGGAAGGTGTTTCAGTGGCAGAGAAAGGGCCTAGGAAATTAGGATCACATATGAATGAGGTGGAAAGACTCACTGGTTTCAGTTCCTCCTTAATAATTTAGGTTGTTAACAAAACCAGGAAAAAACCTTGAGTACTGAACCAGTCTGCATGACCAAAGAGAATCAGATGTGTCCATGTTGTTACTGGAGTTGGTATAAGAGATAAAATGGTAGTTCTCAAAGGAGAATAGAAAATATTGGCTTATTGACTGAAAAAAAGTTAACTTTCTAAAGCATATTACTTGGATTTACTGGAATATACTTGCTTGAAAATTGCAGAAAATTATGCTTCAGTCTGGTTTCCACAGTAATGTGAAAAACCTCATTTTGTACAGATTATTTTCTTAATGCATAAACCATTGATGTGTTTTAGTGAAATTGTTTTAGAGTGATAACATGGGAATCACTGCCTATGAAGGAACTGGCATGTCTTGAAAAATACCCCAAAACCCAAACAAGACTCTTACCCGGTGGTATTACACACGTGATTCATCAAAGCCACATCTAGAGCCTGGATGGCCAGTTCATCGGGTACAGTCAGTCCTTTGTGAAGATGCCACTTCAGCGTAAGTGCCAACTTGCTCTCTGGCTGATTGTTTAACACTAGCCGTATGGCATCTCCCATACTCAGGCGCAGTAACCCATACACACTTGCAAATTTCTTGGCAACTACAAAACATTTTTATTTCAACATAGAACTTTTACATAAGCAACATCACAACCTAGCAGTCTGTTACAAGTCAGTCCTTAATCTTAGAAGCTAACTGCTTAGCTCATTCTCTGGCTCATTTCCAATGCATCATCTTGGTAAGTGGGTACCTAATACTGCTTAGGCTCCTGAAGGGCCCAAACCTTTGCATATGGGCAGAGCATACCCGATGCACTAATGGCATTCAGTTCGGCACAAAACTCAACAGCAATAGTCAATATTATTATGAAGTATCTTAGAAAATATGCGTCCACTGCTTCCTCTTTTACAGAACAGCCTAGCAGTTAGATCATTTGTCCAAGAAATGGGAAATATGGTTAAAATTTTCTCCCTAATAGCAGATAATTTGAACCTGTCTCTTCTTTTTCTAGCACCCTGTTCTAATCATTAAGCAGGGTGTAAGCTGAATGTACTTCTCCTCCAGTTAAAGGCAGAGACCTGTGAATTGAAAGAGTCATGGAGGAAGAAGGAAAGGGGAGAAAGATGGAAATCTTGCTTTTTTAATCTAGAAGTTTGGAAACAGACTGGGGAATGTGGAGTTTTGGCTTCTGGTCCTTGATCCTAGGGATATTTCTTCACTTTACATTAAATCATATTGACTAAAAGAGATAAGAAACAATTAGAAAATAATCAGTAATAATACAAGGGGTATAAATAGTGTAAGTCTGGATTTTCTAAGTGCCAGTCCAGATCACTAACTTGTTAAGAAGCTAGGATAAAATTCGGATGGACAATGCATAAATATGTGACTGTAAAATGAGACACTAGAGAATGTAACTAAAGGATTCTATGCCCAGCAAGAAAAGCAGGAAGACCAACAATGGTTTATAATTTTGTAATAGCAGTAATGACAGATGCAGCTTCAGTCACTAGATAAGGTTTTGCTTTATAGAGAATACTGGCTCTTACCTGTAGTCTTTCCAGATTTTGGAGGTCCCACAATTGCAATCTTAACAGGCACAGCTGGTTTAGGTTTTGGCTGACGAATATATTTGATGGGATTTTTCATAAATGTTTCTTTATTTTCTTTACTTGAAAAGAAATAAATATATTGTCGATGGATTACAGGGAAGACTGTGTTTTCATGGCTTTGTTGTGGCTTGATTACATCTCCTTCACTTAGCTGTAGCATACATAAAATGGGAAGTAGTTGATTAGGTTTGACAAAGCCTCCTCCCCCTCCATCCTACAGAAGGTGGCTTTATAGGCAGGTACAGGAGTACCAACTGTATGAAGCAAACCATCAAAGCATTCTGAAATTCATACATATGGACATAATATATTGTCCGACTCTGAGGAACTTCCGTACATATGTAATTCTTGTACAGAAAGATGAAGTGAACATTGAAGAGAGAAAGAACATTCACTGTTTCCAGTAGGTGGTACCGTAACACTTTCTATCCATCAGGAGAGTGTAGTGAGAGAGGTATAGCATAATACTTCTTTTCAAATTTTCATAGAATAAAGAAAATAATTTTATTCCTCTGTGAATTAAAACCACTTATCTGCCTGACAGTAGAAGATATACTGAGGATATTGTATTTGGCAGAAGTCATGTACAAATGAAGAAAACAGTAGAGAATATCAATACTTACATTGTGGTGAAATGTAAAACCACAAGGCAAGTCAGAAAAGCTTTTGGTAAAATACATACGCTGCTGATGAAATAATGGGGAAAAGCCAACTTGGCTTCTTGTAGAGGGAAATCATACCTCACAAATCTATTAGTATTCTTTGAAGGAGTCAGTAAATATGTAGATACGTTGATCTGGTTGTTACAGTAAGAGATGAGACTGTTCTACTGCGCAGCATTATGTTGCCAGATCCTTCTCTGATTTTTAGGTTCCTATTCCTGCATCAAGTCATTTCAGGGTGCTTGCCCTCAATTTATAAGATGTCAGGAGTCTGTTCTACTGCATATCTGCTCCCATTCCTCCCTCAGCTCCTCATTTTTATTCTCTGCTTATCTAATCAGTTGCATAACTACTTCCCCCACAATTTAGTCTAAAAGTAATTGGCATATACTCTATCTGCCTTTCTACAAAAAAACATCCAGTTCTTAGTCAATTTCATCATTTCTATTATACCCTAAAATATCCTTAAAATGATCCTATTTCCTTTTCATTGTTGTCAGCACATACCTTTCCACTGTCAGCACACCACTCTGATTTTATCTAATAGCTTTCTATGACTTCTTTCTTATAACTGAATCGTACTTTTTGGTTGGTAAAAAACCACTATACAGCATGAATGAATGAACTGGAGAAATGAAATTACAAAATATAGTGAAATCTAACAGAACAAAGTGCAAGGTCTAGCTTGTAGGGACTAATAAGAATTTCACATATAAGATAGGGTTCAGTAATTGGAAATGACAGAAGAGAAGAAATATCTACTTCTATTAATATGCCCCTAGATTATTAGATACCAATTTGATGCAGCCATGGAAAAGACAATTCTGATCCTAAAACAAGTAAGTATTTTTATTATATAAAGCCGTAATAAAAGCTGATCTGTATACAATTCTGATTGCCAAGGTTAAAGAAAGATAAACATAATCTCGAACAGGTGAAGACCCAACACGATGATTATACAAAAGGGCATAAAAATTACTTGATTAATGAGCATAGTAAAATGAAGGCCAAAGTATGTTTCCTTCACAAACTTCCTGTTTTCTGTCTCTTGTTCACTGTGGTTTTTTTAATCAATCCTCCTTTTTATTTCTGATTTACTCACAATCCAACCTGCCTTTATTTCTAGCATAAAAGCCAAAAATTTACCTCCTAACATTTCATTTGCTACCTCTAGAACCTTGATCTTACCTAAAATCTTGCTACCTCAGCCCACTTTTGGGGACAGACATGAATACTTTCTGACCTCAGCTTCCCAGATCTGTGTAAAATACTATGGAATTAGATTTGTTGCTCTTCAAAATGGATGGCCAGGCCCAAAGCGTTGTGGTGAATGGAGTTACATCCACTTGGTGGCTGGTCACAAGTGGTGTTCCCCGGGGCTCAGTACTGGGGCCAGTTCTGTTTAATATCTGTAATCTGGATGAGGGGATCAAGTGCATCCTCCATAAGTTTGCAGATGACACCAAGTTGGGCGGGAGTGTTGATCTGCCTGAAGGGTTGGAAGGGTCTACAGAGGGATCTGGACAGGTTGGATCGATGGGCCAAGGCCAACTGGATGAGGTTCAACAAGGCTCAGTGCCAGGTCGCGCACTTGGGTCACAACAATCCCATGCAACGCTACGGGCTTGGGGAAGAGTGGCTGGAAAGCTGCCTGGTGGAAAAGGACCTGGGGGTGTTGGTTGACAGGTGGCTGAATATGAGCCAGCAGTGTGCCCAGGTGGCCAAGAAGGCCAACAGCATCCTGGCTTGTATCAGAAATGGTGTGGCCAGCAGGACTAGGGATGTGATCGTCCCCCTGTACTCAGCACTGGTGAGGCTGTACCTCAAGTATTGCATTCAGTTTTGGGCCCCTCACCACAAGAAAGACACAGGTGTTGGAGTGTGTCCAAAGAAGGACAAACAACCTGGTGAAGGGTCTAGAGAGCAAGTCCTGTGAGGAGCAGCTGAGGGAACTGGAGTGGTTTAGCCTGGAGAAAAGGAGACTGAAGGGAGACCTTATTGCTCTCTACAACTACCTCCTCAAAGGAGGTTGTAGCCAGGTGGGTGTGGGTCTCTTCTCCCAAGTAACAAGCAATAGGACAAGAGGAAATGGCCTCAAGTTGCACCAGGGGAGATTTAGATTGGGTATTAAGAACAATTTCTTCACCAAAAGGGTTATCAAGCATTGGACCAGGCTGCCCAGGGAAGTGGTTGAGTCACCATCCCTGGAGGTATTTAAAAAGTGTGTAGATGTGGTGCTTAGGGACATGGTTTAGTGGTGGACTTGGCAGTGCTAGGTTAATGGTTGGACTCAATGATCTTAAGGGTCTTTTCCAACCTAAACGATTCTGAAATTTGTAAATCTTGACAACAAAGAATTATTGCTGATGAATTACATACATATAACATTTGTTGGTTTACTTTTTTGCCACTGCTAGGGTTGGTGGCCACCTGTGTGGCTTCTTACATATTCAAACCCCAAATCCTTTCAGTTTGTTTTCACTGCTTCTGGAAGGCTTTAAGACCACCTCTGTTGTCCAAACCTTTCTGATTTGGTGGCACCTTTAATTGTGTCACTAATGCTAATGTAACAGATTTTACTAATGCCTCTCAGCCTTAATTTAGCTGCAACACTGAAAAGACCAACACCTTTTATTGTCAATGCTTGCTGTATTTTGTGTATATTCAGTGGTGTAGTTTTGATTCAGTAATGTAATTTTCATTAAATATTTCTGGTATTAGTTGCTACTGTCTTATGGTATTTTTTTTATGTGAAATGTATTTTTAAAAATTATTACTTCTCAAAAATATTCTTCAGTTATTTAAGAACATTACCTTGATTGGATCCCACTGGCCAAAAGAACTTGGAAATTTATATGAGAAAGCTAGCATCTTATGTGCAAGTGGCAAACTTATTGGGTAACATTTCTCAAAAATGCTTCCACGATTTTCCATTAGAGAATTCAGCTTGCTATATATTTGGTAGTACACAATGTGAGGCTTCCGTCCTCCATTGATCTCAATTTGTGGTATTAGCAATTTTTCAAGTTCGTTCTGGTTAATGAAAACATAATGAAATATTAGAATCATAAACACAATCAGGTTTTTAATAATGACAGCAAGATTTTCTGTGAATGATCAAGGATTTCTTGAGCATGTTCTCAGTCACCATAAATCAGCAAAATTTGATTTGAGATAAGAATTGGTCTTCCTGCCTATCGAAGTTTAAATTACCCAGCCTATATTAAATATCACACTAAAAAAAACCCCAGAGGACAATCTGACAGTTAACTTTGAGGAATCTACCAGGATAAAGCTAAAGGCTGAGAAATATCTTTTATTAAAAAAAGTAATCAAATATCATTCGTTCCCTACTTCAAACAACTTAGGATGGCTTATTTAGTTACTCTCTAAAAATATTGCTGCTCTCTGGTGACTTATTATTGCCCATTTTATTCAAGTAAAATATAAACCTGATCCATTTTCTGCAGAGTTTTTCCTAGCAACCTAAGACTTTTACAAGTGCTACTGTGGTTTAATGTCACCCTTTAGTTTTCCATAAAAGACCAAGATTCCACAAAAGACCAAGATTCCACAATGTCAAAGAGGACCAACAATTAAAGACTCAAAGAACAATAAAGAAGAGTCTTGAATAATGAATCAGAAGTAGTAAGTTATTTAAAGTTATTTATAAAGGCATAAATGTTCTTGGAAATAAAAAATGAGGGGAAAAATACTGAGTAAGCTGTAACTGGGGGTTATTAGTCATATCTAGTCCCAATATGTAATTCTATTATATGATACTACCACTGTGTAATTCCTCAATTTACATATAATATCTATATAGATCCACAGTCTTGGATCATTCAACTTACTGTCTTAAGCAGAACTCAATATAATAACCAATTCTAGAACACTAGTCACCTCTCTTGTTGCTGAGATTTATGTACTTGAGATAAACAAAAGTTGCTGACTCTCTTAATTGCTTGTTCCTTTTCTGGTCAAATTTTTCATCAGTTTACTAATGCAACAAACGATATGCTGCCAAATGACAGAGAGAAAATTGCTCCAGGAACTGTAGCATTCCACTAGCTTTAACTTGAAACATGGTATTGTCCACATAAAGAGCTAAAGCTGTTACTGGGATTTCATGTTTATTTTCTGTCATGGGCCTTATCCTAAATTCTTTTCAATTTTATTTTGCAAATACAGTTTACACTCAGAAAACAGAAATTAGCAACAAGCTTCATTCAGAACCTTTAAAATTATTTTTGTGATTATCATTGGGATACATGATTATATGCATTGAATAGTTCAATAAAATTATGACATTTTATGGTCACTTTTGAAAGTTGAATGTACTTTTAATTCACCTTCTTCCAAAATTAATGGAAAGGTAAATCTCTGAGCACAAAACATTACTCTTTTCCACACAGCTTATGCTTCCTTGTAATGCAAGGAATGTTAGGAGTTTATTCCTGATTAATCTGACATTTAATCCATTAATTATTAAAATAATAATAATTAGAATAATTCTA